TCACAGTTGACAGTGCATGTCAGAGTCAAAACCAAGCCATGAGGTCGAAGGAATTGTCCGTAGAGCTCCGAGACAGGATTGTGTTGAGGCACAGATCTGGGGAAGGGTACAAACGTTTCTGCAGCTTTGAAGGTCCCCAAGAACACGGTGGCCTCCATCATTCTTAATTGGAAGAAGTTAGGAACCACCAAGACTCTTCCAAGATTGAACTTGGCCTGAATGCCAAGCGTCATGTCTGAAGGAAACCTGGCACCATCCCTACGGTGAAGCATGGTGATGGCAGCATCATGTTGTGGGGATGTTTATCAGCGGCAGGGGCTGTGAGACTAGTCAGGATCGAGGGAAAGATGAACGGAGCAAAGTACAGAGAGATCCTTGAAGAGAACCTGCTCCAGAGCGCTCAGGACCTCAGACTGGGGCGAAGGTTCACCTTCCAACAGGACAACAGCCTTAAGCACACAACCAAGACAACGCAGGAGTGGCTTCGGGACAAGTCTCTGAATGTCCTTGAGTGGCCCAGCCAAAGCCCGGACTTGAACCCGATCTAACATCTCTGGAGAGACCTGAAAATAGCTGTGCAGAGACACTCCCCATCCAACCTGACAGAGCTTGAAAGGATCTGCAGAGAAGAATGGGAGAAACTTCCCAAATACAGGTGCGCCAAACTTGCAGCGTCATACCCAAGAAGACTCGAGGCTGTAATTGCTGCCAAAGGTGCTTCAACAAAGTACTGAGTAAAGGGTGTGAATACTTATGTAAATGTGATATCAATTTGTTATTTTTCATAAATGTGCAAAAATGTCTAAATACCTGTTTTTGCTCTGTCATTATGGGGTATTGTGTGTAGATTGATGAGAGGGGGGAAACAATTGAATCCATTGAAGAATAAGGCTGTAACGTAACAAAATGTGGAAAAAGTCAAGGGGTCTGAATACTTTCCGAATGCACTGTATCTCTGGCTGAGACGAACAGCCTTTCTTCAACCTGAGCCATGGCGCAAATTAAAAGAGGGTGCAAACAAATGTTTTTGCGCTTCGGCTTTTTTACCGAAAATGTGATAATTTGTCATTTTTCACGTATTTATTAGCTGGTCTGTATATATAAAATATATACAGTACCAGTCAAAAGTTTGGACACACCTATTCATTCAAGGGTTTTCTTTATTTTTACTAGTTTTCTACATTGTAGAATAATAGTGAAGACATCAAAACTATTAAATAACACATATGGATATATATATATTTTTTCATCATGTAGTAACCAAAAAAGTGTTAAACAAATCAAAATACATTTTAGATTTTAGATTCTTCAAAGTAGCCACCCATTGCCTTGACAGCTTTACACACTCTTGGCATTCTCTCAACCAGCTTCATGAGGTAATCACCTGGAATGCATTTCAATTAACATGTGTGCCTTGTTAAAAGTGTATTTGTCGAATTTTTACAACACAACTGAGCCAATCAGTTGTGTTGTGACAAGGTAGGGGTGGTATACAGAAGATAGCCCTATTTGGTAAAAGACCACGTTCATATTATGGCAAAAACAGCTCAAATAAGCAAAGAGAAACGACAGTCCCTTATTATTTTGGACCTGAAGGTCAGTCAATCCGGAAAATTTCAAGAAGTTTGAACGTTTCTTCGAGTGCAGTCGCAAAAACCATCAAGTGCTATGATGAAACTGGCTCTCATGAGGACCACCACAGGAATGGAAGACCCAGAGTTACCTCTGCTGCAGAGGATAAGATAATTAGAGTTACCAGCCTCAGAAATTGCAGCCCAAATAAACGCTTCACAGAGTTCAAGTAACAGGCACATCTCAATATCAACTGTTCAGAGGTGACTGCGTGAATCTGCCTTCATGGTCGAATTGCTGCAAAGAAACCACTACTAAAGGACACCAATAAGAAGGAGAGACTTGCTTGGGCCAAGAAACACAAGCAATGGACATTAGACCAGTGGAAATCTGTCCTTTGGTCTGATGAGTCCAAATGTGAGATTTTTGGTTCCAACCGCCGTGTCTTTGAGAGACGCAGAGTAGGTGACTGGATAATCTCTGCATGTGTGGTTCCCACCGTGAAGCATGGAGGAGGAGGTGTGATGGTCCTTTGCTGGTGACACGGTCTGTGATTTATTTAGAATTCAAGGCACACTTAACCAGCTTGGCTACCACAGAATTCTGCAGCGATACGCCATCCCATCTGGTTTGTGCTTAGTGGGACTATCATTTGTTTTTCAACAGGACAATGACCCAAAACACACCTCCAGGCTGTGTAAGGGCTATTTGACCAAGAAGGAGAGTGATGGATTGCTGCAACCTCAACCCAATTGAGAGGGTTTGGGATGAGTTGGACCGCAGAGTGAAGGAAAAGCAGCCAACAAGTGCTCAGCATATGTGGGAACTCCTTCAAGACTGTTGGAAAAGCACTCCTCTTTAGTCTGGTTGAGAGAATGCCAAGAGTGTACAAAGCTGTCATCAAGGCACAGGGTGGCTATTTGAAGAATCTCAAATATAAAATATATTTTGATTTGTTTAACACTTTTTGGGTTACTACATGATTCCATGTGTTTTTCATAGTTTTGATGTCTTCACTATTATTCTACAATGTAGAAAATAGTAAAAATAAAGAAAAACCCTGTAATGAGTACATGTTCTAAAACCTTTGACTGGTAGTGTACATCTCATTACTATTTCTATGGCGGATTCGCAGCCGCAATTTATGGAAGATGCCTAAACTTGGAGATAAAAACAGATTGTGAAGTCAAAGATACTAGCTTCCATCTGTGGCAAAGTTTTCACTAAATGCTTATGACAAATCCAGCTCCAGAACCAGCCATAGCCTTGCCAGCTGGCTAATCGTTTGAATATGGTGTAGTAAAAACAAAACAAAAAACAGCAACAACATAACATTAGCGAACTAGATAATGTTAGCAAGACAGCTAGCTAGCTACACTAACAGTTGTCAGTGCCCCATTTGTTGAGGTTTGTCCGCTCCACGTGGAAATCATTGATGTTCCTTCCCACCCTCAATTCGTGAATATGTAGCCTGCATCATTCTTCCGATGTGGAACCTAAACAAGCATTTCCGCTCTAGAACAGGAATTACGTCGAAATAGTGGGGTCCTTTAAACAGAGACGGAAAACGAAGCGAGACATCCCACTCCCTAATTCTTTCTGTTCCAATGGAAGTCAGTGAGGGGATTCGATGAATCTGACCCAGGCAGCCGGGTAGGCGTGTTTTGCACCGGGGTGAAAGTAGATTGTATTTGTTTTGGAACCGGGCTGCCTCCCGGGCGTGAGCCAGGTGCCCCGTTCAAAGCCCACAGCAAAGTCGGCTCAAAACAAAAGTGACGTAATTAGGTACGTGGAGTAATGAGTAGGATTCTGTGTTTTCACCTTCCTCTTTTGTTCTGTATTGCTCCTCTATTGATTCTCAAGCAAGGGGGAGGCCGATGACAAAGGGCACCATCAGACCAACTCCTTGAATGGCCTCCATAGTGTAAAAAAAAAAAAAACGTTTGTTTTACCCTTAAGTGTATGTACATTACTGTATTTATGCATGGAATATTGTTTTTCAACAAGAAAAGTTCACAAATAGCTGGAGTTTGTCTTTGAAACAATATTTTAACAGTAGAAAAATCATAACATTAACAACTTACCTAGCATATCATAAAGCACAATATTTGAAAAAAATCCAACAATAAGCCAACTCCTGCAAAGAACACAATAGTCTAAACAAATTACTCTTGATCATGGTTTTATTACAGGTGATTTTGACATAAATTAAATAAGGCACGTTCACTGCATCTAATATTAAAACATTTAATAAAATACTTTAGTACGAAAATAATCAACATTGAGATTGGAGTGGACAACTACTACTGTATATACCAAAACAGTAACCTTGAAATAAAAATACATCCGTATGCTGATGCTAGTCATTTTTCTGTGTTCAATGTACTGTATGTGCTGGATTATGATAATTTCAATAAATGTCAGTTCAAAACTACAGAGATTTCAGAGTGTTGCTGATAGAAAACAAATGGTACTTGTAAAGTGCAAACTCCCCATAGAATCTGTTGGGTCCTATATGGCTTTGCTTTGCAGGATTGGGATCAACTGCCATAGAGGTGAAATTGAATTATCAGTTCAATGCTAAATAAACACTTTTCTTTTGTTGCATTATATTGTTTTCTACAGGATAAATATCAGATTCAGAATACAGTAAAGGTGATGATAAACAAATGAACTATGGCAATTGTGTTATTATATTCTCAAATGCAGTATTTAACTACAGTACTATCTATTTGTGGAGTCACTGGATTGAGCTACTGTATATAGATGTATGTGCATACATTGTTATGGTTCTCTCTCTACCTACAAAGCAACCAAGATAACTATTCTAAGTGTTTGACATTCACTGTGATACAAGTGTGGCCTCACTGTGCATTGTCATTCAATTGCCACACACCAGGAGGTACATTTTCTGTTATAGATAGGTTAGAAATTACAATTGATGGTTTTCTACAGGGAATAACTAACTCAGTAAATTAAATTAAAAATGACATCCAAACCTGAGAACTCTAATCAAGTTAAACTAAATTGTTAAAAATAAAAACAGAGCCCTGATTTTACATGGTCAAATAAAAACGTCCAGATGTAATATGAGCATATATATTCAGATTATCATTTTTTTAAAAGTAGACAAAACTAAAACCGTCCGGATATGCTATAATGTCACTATCCACTGTTAGAATGTTCTATCTATCTATCTACTATCTATTTTATAAGGGTGAGCAACAAAACTAAAATAAACTAAAACTGAATGACACTCGCATGAAGTTGAATTAACATGTTTTGCATCCCTTTTTTGTGAAGGCAAGGAGAAAAAGTGCTTTCAATAACAGTCAGGTCAACTAACTAAAAGTAGGCCACACTCTTCTCTGGTTAACCCACACTGTGCAAGTTCTTCCCTGACTGGGGTCCGCCTCAGCCTCTGCTCCTCAGAGTATCTCTATTTCTTCTACCAGGTCTTCTACCAGGTCTTCTACCAGGTCTTCCATGTCTTTGGGTGGGCTCTCAGTCTCTGGACAGTTCCTCTTAGACTTTACTTCTGTGTGTGATGTGGTGTGGACATATTTTTCCTCTCTGTTTCTGTCTTTGTCTCCATTGACTTGGCTAGGTGTGTGTGATGGATCCTCGAGTGGTGTGTGTGTGTGTGATGGGTCGCTGCCGGGTGTTTGTTGTGTATTTGAGGGGTCGTCTGCTGTGTGTGTATTTGATGGGATGTCAGGTGTGTATGTATTTGACACGTCAGGTGTGTGTATGTCAGGTGCGTATGTATGCAAGGGTTCACCTGGAGTGTCTGTGTGTGAAGGGTCTTTGGCTATGTGTGTGTCCTCAACCTTGGCCTCTCCTGTGTGTCTCCGGTCCCGGCCCCACTGAGGAGACGGGGGGTGCTCTGTGTCCACGGTGTGACTGCAGCTCAGGGCCCTTTCTCTGTCCCTTTGGCCCCCAGGCTGGGGGCTTCCCTCTGGGCTGGAGCTGATGCTGAACGGCCCACTGCTCTCCAGGGTCTCCCCCCGCCTCAGCTTCCTCCTCTCAGGAGTGGGGGAGTTGATGGAAGGCACACTGGTGTCCCTGGGAAGACCTTTCTTGATTTGCTGAACCCTGAAAAAAACATCAAACAACATCCACAAGCTCAGAATTGCACTGAAGCTCGGGAATTGCACTGAAACATAACAGTTCCTTAAAATGTATGTTTATTAAAACTTATGAGTAAACCATGACAAAAGTTGTTCTGGATCGGCTTTGTTGACTTTGTGTACTTAGGAACATCTAACTAAACAAACAAACTCCACATTGTCTCAACTGATCTTTTTGCAAACTGCAGTCCGATTGATATTGACATCAACTTCACTATGAAGGACAGCATACATATTCCACAAGGGGGCACACAATCTTTTCCATGGTACTGACCAGTTTATTGACTGGGCCAGCTTCTGACGTCTTCCACTGGCATTATCCTGCTGATGCTTTTGCCGCTGGACAAATGAGTGTGCTGGGATTGGGAGAAAGAAGTAAGAAGAACTGTTCCATATCCACACCAGCATACCATGGGCATGCATTCTAAGTGGTATGATGGTATGGACAGTGGAACATAGTTTGAATTATTGGGTGTTGGAAAACAAACCCCAATAATTCAAAATATGGCAGTAGTAGTAGATTGGTCCCCAAAAAGACGAAGCTACTACTATTGCCATAGTTTGAATTATTAGGTGACAAAGTTGGTGAGAATACTTTTCACTGTGTGTTACTTGTAATAGATCTCTGTACCTTCATGCTCTAGCAGGTAGGTGGTCAAGGAAAAACAGTGGCTGCTGTCAATACTGACTCTCTTACCCGGAGCCCCCTTGGGCACAGAGAGCAGTTTGATTGGTTCAGCGTTGTGGGAGAGTCCAGATGCCTTCTGAAGAGTCCTCAGGATTTCAGTGTTCTGAAAGTGGAAAAACAAAACAAAAACCCATTTCATAATGAATTCATTTTTCCCCAGCTCTATGGTTGTTCGATTAGATCTGCTACTGAAAAAAATTATATGTAGACCCATACCCAAAATAGTTGGTGAGGTGCTGACTAACAGAAAGTTAGCAAATCTAAGAAAAATAAATAAAGTTGCACATACTGTAAATCTTGTGCAACTCTGTTTACAATTCTGTTTAACAAGTGGTCACCTTGTCCCTGATCTAACCCCTCAGTGGCCGTTAGATTCTCACTTTTCCCCTGGTCTCCATGGCACAGTCCAGTGCTGTCCTCTGTCTCTTGTTCCTCATGTGGACCAAGGCTCCAGCCTGCAGTAACAGCTCCACCAGGGTCAGGTGACCCCCTTTCACAGCCTCGTGCAGGGCCGTGTTCCCCTGGTTGTTGGACAGGTTCACTGAGGCGTTGCTCTGGAGGAAGACAATATAGAAACGTCTGATCACACATTGTTTTGCTACTCACAATAGGTGGCCTTTTAATGAAGCTTAGGTGGTATGGTTTACAACGTTTAGAGCAACATGGTCTTTGTCATGTGATTGCTCTGCTATCATTTTTTCAATTTCTTGGTCACTGACAGCCAGTGGTGGAAAAAGTACCCAATTGTCATACTTGAGTAAAAGTAAAAGATACCTTAATAAAAAATGACTCAAGTAAAAGTGAAAGTCATCCAGTAAAATACTACTTGAGTAAAAGTCTAAACTTCACGAGTCGTTTATTGTTTTGTTATTTCGTGTGTATGCTTTAATTAAATAAAGCAAGTATGTTCGCAACTAACGCTGCGCTTTGGTCCACTCCTTCATACGACGTTCGTGACAGAAAAACCCACCGTAAAAGGACCAAGCAGCGTGTCCAGGAGCAGGCAGACTGGACATGGGAGGAAGCGCCAGGAAAGGAGATGGAGAGGCTGGCGATGGCCCAGGTGGGCAAATCGTGGTCCTGGGAAGACATGCTCGGGGGCAAGGGACCTTGGGGTAGGATTAAGGCCCTGGCAAGAGAGGAGCAGCGGCGTCAGCAGTGCCATCGTCGGAAGGACGAGAGGCACCCCCAATAATTTTTTAGGGGGGGGCACACGGCATGGGCGACTGGGCAGCAGGAGGCTGCCACAGGGCGAAATGGGAGACGAGGAGAGAAGGCCACCGGGTTACGGGAGCCATTGGCGAGAGGAGGGAAGGAAGTTGTAGAGGCACGGCGAGAGGTACTGAGGTGTATTGCCAGTCCGGTCCGGCCCGTTCCTGATCCCCGTTTAAGGCCAGTGGTGTGTGTTCCCAGTACGGTTCGGCCTGTTCCTGCTCCACGCACCAAGCCTACGGTGTGCGTCGCCAGCCCAGTCCGGCCAGTTGCTGCTCCACGCACCAAGCCTACGGTGTGCGTCGCCAGCCCAGCCCGGCCTGTCCCTGCTCCACGCACCAAGCCTACGGGGTGCGTCGCCAGCCCGGCCCGGCCTGTCCCTGCTCCACGCACCAAGCCTACGGTGTGCGTCGCCAGCCCAGCCCGGCCTGTTCCTGCTCCACGCACCAAGCCTACGGTGTGCGTCGCCAGCCCAGTCCGGCCAGTTGCTGCTCCACGCACCAAACCTACGGTGTGCGTCGCCAGCCCAGCCCGGCCTGTCCCTGCTCCACGCACCAAGCCTACGGTGTGCGTCGCCAGCCCTGTCCGGCCTGTCCCTGCTCCACGCACCAAGCCTACGGTGTGCGTCGCCAGCCCTGTCCGGCCTGTCCCTGCTCCACGCACCAAACCTACGGTGTGCGTCGACAGCCCAGCCCGGCCTGTCCCTGCTCCACGCACCAAGCCTACGGTGTGCGTCGCCAGCCCTGCCCGGCCTGTTCCTGCTCCACGCACCAAGCCTACGGTGTGCGTCGCCAGCCCTGTCCGGCCTGTCCCTGCTCCACGCACCAAGCCTACGGTGTGCGTCGCCAGCCCTGCCCGGCCTGTTCCTGCTCCACGCACCAAGCCTACGGTGTGCGTCGCCAGCCCTGTCCGGCCTGTCCCTGCTCCACGCACCAAGCCTACGGTGTGCGTTGTCAGCCCAGCCCGGCCTGTCCCTGCTCTACGCACCAAGCCTACGGTGCGCGTCACCAGCCCGGCCCGGCCTGTTCCTGCCACTCGCACCAAGCCAGGGGTGCGAGTCGTCAGCCTGGTCCAGCCCGTTCCTGCCACTCGCACCAAGCCAGGGGTGCGAGTCGTCAGTCCGGCACAACCCGTGCCTGGGTCATCGGTGCCAATTCAGGTACCGCTCTACTGCTCCACTAAGGAGCTGAAGCCTACCGCTCCTGCTACGTCCAGTCCAGCTCCAGCCAGCGGGGCCAGACCGGACCAGGGGCGCTATGGGGGGTTTGTTGGAGGGTGGTGGGCAAGCCCGGAGCCGGAGACGCCGCCGAGGAGGAATGCCCACCCAGCCCTCCCCTGTTTTGCTCGTATTTAGGCGCGGTCGCAGTCCGCGCCTTTAGGGGGGGGGGTACTGTCACACCCTGGCTCTGGGACTCATTATGTTGAGCCAGGGTGTGTTCATTCTATGTGTTCTGTTTCTATGTTGGGTGTTCTTGGTTGTTTATTTCTATGTTTGACTGAGTGACTCCCAATCAGAGGCAACGAGTGTCAGCTGTGTGCTGGTTGTCTCTGATTGGGAGCCATATTTAACTGTCTGTGTTTCACTTTGTGTTTGTGGGTTTTTGTTCCGTGTTCGGTCATTGTCACTGAGGACTTCACGAGTCGTTTATTGTTTTGTTATTTCGTGTGTATGCTTTAATTATTTGGTTTTAAATATACTTCAGTATCATAAGTAAAAGTAATTGCAAAAATATACTTAGGTATCAAAAGTAAAAGTACAAATCATTTCAAATTCCATATATTAAGCAAACCAGACGGCGCCATGTTCTTGTTTTCTTAATTTACAGAAAGCCAGGGGAACACTCCAACACTCAGACATAATTTACAAAGGAAGCATGCGTGTTTAGTGAGTCTGCCAGATCAGAGGCAGTAGGGGCGACCAGGGATGTTCTCTTGATAATTGTGTGAATTTGACTATTTTCCTGTCCTGCTAAGCATTCAAAATTTAACGAGTACTTTTGGGTGTCAGGGAAAATGTATGGAGTAAAAAGTAAATTATTTGTAGTCTGACTAGTAGTCTCAAATATAAATAGTAAAGTAAAGTACAGATACCCAAAGAAACTACTTAAGTAGTACTTTAAAGTATTTTTACTAAAGTACTTTATACCACTGCTGACAGCTATAAAGACCTTACTTGGCCGTTTATTTCTCCAGTGTGATGGTGTTGGCCTGTTTGATCACTAGGGGGAAGCAGTGTCAGTGTTCTGTTCACCTGCAGCAGGATGGTGGCTGTATCCAGGTGACCTCTGAGGCAGGCGTGGATCAGAGGGGTGTTGCCATAGCGATCCTTCTTATTCAGCTTGGCATTGCACTCCAGCAGTGATGTCACTACCTGAACACATGTACATAAAACCAATGAGAGATTGTCTGAGGCTGAAGAACGAGGTATGAGCGAGGATGAAAAGAGTCAATCTGCAGCAGACCTGTGTGTTTCAAACAATTCAAGCTTTTGGGCGAGTCTGCCTGGAGTCCCTAGATGGACGGGGGGTTGGGACTATTCCATGGTTTCTGATGAGCCAGGGAAGCTCAATCAAACGCAGCTAAAGTATAGTACTGTGTGCCCACCTGTAAGTGGCTGTTCTGGCTGGCCAGGTGCAGTGGAGTGGCGCTCTGGCTGTTGCGTGCGTTGACGTTGGCCCCGTGGCGGCTGAGCAGGGATACCAGCGCCGTGTGACCATGGAGCGCCGCCACGTGGAGGGGAGTGAAGCCATCCACACTACTGCTGTTCACACCCAGACCACTGGCCTGCAGGCACACCAACTTCTGGAGGCAAACACACACATACACACACACACACACACACACACACACACCAATACAGACATAAAAGGCACAGACATCATCAAGTTAGCTGGACAGCTCTGCAGGAACAAAATTCAGTCTAAGGCCCTGTGTGAAGATTGCTGTTTGTTTGCTCACTGTACATCAGAAAGAGTTTTGGTAAGTGTGTTTGTCGGGCTATGGAGCATGGAGCCTGCAGTAGCGATGTTGTCTGACCTTCTGTGATGGCCCACAGTGTGGACACTGGCACAGTGGGTGGCACAGTTTAGTCCAGGAGGGCAGCCCTGCATCCTCCTCCTCTGGCTCCTCGTCCAACCACTCCAACAGGTACCGCACCATCTCTATGTCTCCATCAGCTGCCGCACGCAGCAACTTCTCCACCTGTCAGTCAAACAGAGAGAAACAGAGAGAGGCAGCCTATTAGAACACAAGACAGTAAACGCAGGGCCTTTACAAACTGCCAACATGGATTACAAATTACAGATAGTCATCCCACAAAAACTTTGTGTGAAAGCTCCAAATATTAGCGTCACTCAATATATATAAAAATACTACATATAATTTCACTTCCTTCCCTATTCCTTTTCCCTAAATGTTAAGTCCCCTATTTAGCGGTTCTGGACTGGTTCTGACAGATATTTCTGTGTACAGTGCACTCTGTGACCGACGCAACATTCATTGCTTTACACTCCCTAAAAGTGGTGGTTGTCTCGATCCATATGCGCTATTGCAAGCGCAGCTGTGAGGTTCCCAGACATATTTGCATAGGGAGCGACACGTTACATTTTCTGTCCTATCCAGACAAAGGAACGATTTCCTGTACCTGTGACCATCGTAGCTGCATGTGAAACGGGAGAGTCTAGCGGATTCAACAGATGGATTTATAGCCCTCAACAGGGAAAAACACAAAATAATTTCAAAGAATTGAAATAAGAACATCTTCTCTTCGTCAGAGATGCACAAAATCTCTTCGTGCTTAAAGCAGAATTTGTAACAAGTCTGCACACATTTGAATGGTGTCTGCTTCGCTCAGAGTACGTTTGGCAGAAAAGTTGTCGGTTATATGAAAAGGTGCCAATATTGTACTGTCACTAAGTATGATCATATTTATTTTACAGTTATAAGAAAATGTGAAATCTTATAGTAAGTCGTTTATAATTTGATTGTTACTATATTTAGAAAGCATTTCAGTCATTTTAAGCCCTATTGCCCCACTTTTGTTGAATAGGGAAAAAATCGTATGATTTCTCATATTTGTACTATGTTCTTGAACTTGTGTCATCAAAAGTGAGTACACCTAAGCAATCTATAACCACTTACCAGAAAGGTGAGTCCCAGACCTTTCTAAAACTATGCAGCATTACCAGTTATTGTTTATGGCCATCTCATGAAAATATTACTTTTGGATATGTCATTTTAGGCAGAAATCTAAATTTTGCCCTAACGTTCAATAATTGAATTAAGAGGATGGTACTCCTCTTAGGCATTGTCAGGGTCAACCCTGCCTAGGCCAGGGGTCCTGAGTGCTCTGCTCACCTCTTTGTGGCGGACCCTGTCGTAGTCGGGCCTGGCCTCAGAGCTCTGGGAGGTGGTGCTGGAGACAGAGGAACGGCGGCTGCTGCAGTCAGAGGCCTGGGGAGAGTGGTTAGGGGACTGGAAGGGACAGCAGGGGGCGAGAGAGCGCCCCGTCAATCAGCTGACCATACCACAAACAAAATCAGGACCCGGTTTCCCGATAGCGATGGAACTTAAGCTTACGAGTGTTTTAACGATGCATCGTTCCTATAACGGCCGAAGATGTCACATGCGTTTCCCAAAACACCACGTAGAGAGAATGTTCACTAAGTGCTTAATTGGAGCATGTGTCGATACTGATAGGATCGAAAGAAAGGCAGCGTTGCTCTCGGATCAGCTTTCTACACTCAAATCTCATTAAAATTATTGCACAATTCTGACCGACGGATCAGCTCCTAGATATACACTGCTCAAAAAAATTAAGGGAACACTTAAACAACACAATGTAACTCCAAGTCAATCACACTTCTGTGAAATCAAACTGTCCACTTAGGAAGCAACACTGATTGACAATAAATGTCACATGCTGGTGTGCAAATGGAATAGACAACAGGTGGAAATTATAGGCAATTAGCAAGACACCCCCAATAAAGGAGTGGTTCTGCAGGTGGTGACCACAGACCACTTCTCAGTTCCTATGCTTCCTGGCTGATGTTTTGGTCACTTTTGAATGCTGGCGGTTCTTTCACTCTAGTGGTAGCATGAAACGGAGTCTACAACCCACACAAGTGGCTCAGGTAGTGCAGCTCATCCAGGATGGCACATCAATGCGAGCTGTGGCAAGAAGTTTTGCTGTGTCTGTCAGCGTAGTGTCCAGAGCATGGAGGCGCTACCAGGAGACAGGCCAATACATCAGGAGACGTGGAGGAGGCCATAGGAGGGCAACAACCCAGCAGCAGGACCGCTACCTCTGCCTTTGTGCAAGGAGGAGCACTGCCAGAGCCCTGCAAAATGACCTCCAGCAGGCCACAAATGTGCATGTGTCTGCTCAAACGGTCAGAAACAGACTCCATGAGGGTGGTATGAGGGCCCGACGTCCACAGGTGGGGGTTGTGCTTACAGCCCAACACCGTGCAGGACGTTTGGCATTTGCCAGAGAACACCAAGATTGGCAAATTCGCCAATGGCGCCCTGTGCTCTTCACAGATGAAAGCAGGTTCACACTGAGCACGTGACAGACGTGACAGAGTCTGGAGACGCCGTGGAGAACGTTCTGCTGCCTGCAACATCCTCCAGCATGACCGGTTTGGCGGTGGGTCAGTCATGGTGTGGGGTGGCATTTCTTTGGGGGGCCGCACAGCCCTCCATGTGCTCGCCAGAGGTAGCCTGACTGCCATTAGGTACCGAGATGAGATCCTCAGACCCCTTGTGAGACCATATGCTGGTGCGGTTGGCCCTGGGTTCCTCCTAATGCAAGACAATGCTAGACCTCATGTGGCTGGAGTGTGTCAGCAGTTCCTGCAAGAGGAAGGCATTGATGCTATGGACTGGCCCGCCCGTTCCCCAGACCTGAATCCAATTGAGCACATCTGGGACATCATGTCTCGCTCCATCCACCAACGCCATGTTGCACCACACACTGTCCAGGAGTTGGCAGATGCTTTAGTCCAGGTCTGGGAGGAGATCCCTCAGGAGACCATCCGCCACCTCATCAGGAGCATGCCCAGGCGTTGTAGGGAGGTCATACAGGCACGTGGAGGCCACACACACTACTGAGCCTCATTTTGACTTGTTTTAAGGACATTACATCAAAAGTTGGATCAGCCTGTAGTGTGGTTTTCCACTTTAATTTTGAGTGACTCCAAATCCAGACCTCCATGGGTTGATACATTTGATTTCCATTGATAATTTTTGTGTGATTTTGTTGTCAGCACATTCAACTATGTAAAGAAAAAAGTATTTAATAAGATTATTTCAATCATTCAGATCTAGGATGTGTTATTTTAGTGTTCCCTTAAATTTTTTGAGCAGTGTATATTATTTGTCTGCAAATATTGAGGCGGCTTATTCTAATGCTTACCCCATAATAATGCACTAAATCACAGATTTGGCACATCATTGCGCACGTTGTTACACAACATTAAATATATTGAGGCAATTTAAGATAGTAGCCTACAATAACCAAATAGAACTCAATTGATTGAACATGAAATTGAGTTCAATATCATTCAAATACATAGGCCTATGTAGCCTATACTGTATTTTTATTTTAATGCAGTGATCACTGTTTTTATTTGAAGCATCTTTTTATTATTCACTTGTTTGTAACAATTGCAAAGACATTAGCAACTTTTAACTTCGTTCTGAAGTTATCAGCGGTTACAGAGAGACAGAAACATCTTGATTCTATGTTTAGCAGAGATTTTCTGTGTATAAAGTGACGCGGAAGGGCAAAAAAGCATCTAACGACGCACTTAGCTGTTCTTGGAGTGGTTTGAGGTAGTCGGTAAACAACTAGCGTTTTCAAGTGAAACTTCACCAACAACGGTTTTAGGAAACAGCTCTGCGATTTAACAATGCTCCTACGAAGATTCTAACAATGAACTTAGCCTTAAGATGCTTTTGGGAAACTGGGTCCAGGCTGCTTCTAGCAGAGCAAGTAAAGAGATATCCTTGGAATACTTAGGACAGTCCACCTACAGGATTCTGGTTAACGGTATTTTAACAGGTTGGCTGGTCAGAACCATCAGTTTATCTAATGAAATGATGTAGTTCCATTATTGAGTCAACTCTACTCTGTCACTTCCTATGTGATGACATTTGACTTACATCATTGCTATCTCTTCTGTGAGAACCATATTGTGTCAACTCCAACAGCGTCAAAATCTGCAACACAGACATTGGTACACACACACACTATTATGTACGTACATACAGTGCATTCGGAAAGTATTCAGACCCCTTGACTTTTTCCACTTTGTTACGTTACAGCCTTATTATCAAATTTATTAAATCATGTTTTTCCCTCATCAATCTACCCACAATACCCCATAATGACAAAGCGAAAACAGGTTTGTCGAAAATATTAAAAATTAAAAACAGAAATATCACATTTACATAAGTATTCAGACCCTTTACTCAGTACTTTGTTGAAGCACCTTTGGCAGCGATTACGGCCTTGAGTCTTCTTGGGTATGACGCTACAAGCTTGGCACACCTGTATTTGGGGAGTTTCTCCCATTCTTCTCTGCAGATCCTCTCAAGCTCTGTCAGGTTGGATGGGGAGCGTCGCTGCACAGCTATTGTCAGGTCTCTCCAGAGATGTTAGATCGGGTTCAAGACCGGGCTCTGGCTGGGCCACTCAAGGACATTCAGAGACTTGTCCCGAAGCCACTCCTGCGTTGTCTTGGCTGTGTGATTAGGGTCGTTGTCCTGTTGGAAGGTGAACCTTCACCCTAGTCTGAGGTCCTGAGCACTCTGGAGCAGGTTTTCATCAATGATCTCTCTGTACTTTGCGCAGTTCATCTTTCCCTCGATCCTGACTAGTATCCCAGTCCCTGCCACTGAAAAATATCACCACAGCATGATGCTGCCACCACCATGCTTCACCGTAGGGATGGTGCCAGGTTTCCTCCAGACGTGACGCTTGGCATTCAAGCAAAAGAGTTCAATCTTGGTTTCATCAGACGAGAGAATCTTGTTTCTCATGGTCTGAGAGTCCTTTAGGTGCCTTTTGGCAAACTCCAAGCAGGCTGTCATGTGCCTTTTACTGAGGAGTGGCTTCCGTCTGGCCACTCTACCATAAAGGCCTGATTGGTGGAGTGCAGCAGAGATGGTTGTCCTTCTGGAATGTTCTTCCATCTCCACAGAGGAACTCTGGAGCTCTGTCAGAGTGACCATCAGGTTCTTGGTCACTTCCCAGACCAAGGCCCTTCTCCCCCAATTGCTCAGTTTGGCCGGGTGGCCAGCTCTAGGAAGAGACTTGGTGGTTCCAAATTTATTGCATTTAAGAATGATGGAGGCCACTGTGTTCTTGTGGACCTTGTTTTGGTACCCTTCCCCAGATCTGTGCCACGACACAATCCTGTCTCGGAGCTCTACGGACAATTCCCTTGACCTCATGGCTTGATTTATGCTCTGACATGCACTGTCAACTATGGGACCTTATGTAGACAGGTGTGTGCCTTTCCAAATCATGTCCAATCAATTGAATTCTATGGGGTTGAGATGCACCTGAGCTCAATTTCGAGTCTCATAGCAAAGGGTCTGAATACAAAAAATTCAAAAAAACATTTTTCGCTTTGTCATTATGGGGTATTGTGTGTATATTGATGATGATTTTTTTTGCATTTAATCCATTTTAGAATAAGTCTGTAACGTAACAAAATGTGGAAAAAGTCAAGAGGTCTGAAAACGTTCCGAATGCACTGTACTTGCTTGCTGTAACAAACACATACTTAATTTGCACATTTGATGTTTGCACACATGACTGACTAAGTCGCTTTAGATAAAATGGTGTGCTAAATGGCATATACAGTGGGGAAAAAAAGTATTTAGTCAGCCACCAATTGTGCAAGTTCTCCCACTTAAAAAGATGAGAGAGGCCTGTAATTTTCATCATAGGTACACGTCAACTATGACAGACAAATTGAGAGAAAAAAATCCAGAAAATCACATTGTAGGATTTTTTATGAATTTATTTGCAAATTATGGTGGAAAATAAGTATTTGGTCACCTACAAACAAGCAAGATTTCTGGCTCTCACAGACCTGCAACTTCTTCTTTAAGAGGCTCCTCTGTCCTCCACTCGTTACCTGTATTAATGGCACCTGTTTGAACTTGTTATCAGTATAAAAGACACCTGTCCACAACCTCAAACAGTCACACTCCAAACTCCACTATGGCCAAGACCAAAGAGCTGTCAAAGGACACCAGAAACAAAATTGTAGACCTGCACCAGGCTGGGAAGACTGAATCTGCAATAGGTAAGCAGCTTGGTTTGAAGAAATCAACTGTGGGAGCAATTATTAGGAAATGGAAGACATACAAGACCACTGATAATCTCCCTCGATCTGGGGCTCCACACAAGATCTCACCCCGTGGGGTCAAAATGATCACAAGAACGGTGAGCAAAAATCCCAGAACCACACAGGGGGACCTAGTGAATGACCTGCAGAGAGCTGGGACCAAAGTAACAAAGCCTACCATCAGTAACACACTACGCCGCCAGGGACTCAAATCCTGCAGTGCCAGACGTGTCCCCCTGCTTAAGCCAGTACATGTCCAGGCCCGTCTGAAGTTTGCTAGAGTGCATTTGGATGATCCAGAAGAGGATTGGGAGAATGTCATATGGTCAGATGAAACCAAAATAGAACTTTTTGGTAAAAACTCAACTCGTCGTGTTTGGAGGACAAAGAATGCTGAGTTGCATCCAAAGAACACCATACCTACTGTGAAGCATGGGGGTGGAAACATCATGCTTTGGGGCTGTTTTTCTGCAAAGGGACCAGGACGACTGATCCGTGTAAAGGAAAGAATGAGGCCATGTATCGTGAGATTTTGAGTGAAAACCTCCTTCCATCAGCAAGGGCATTGAAGATGAAACGTGGCTGGGTCTTTCAGCATGACAATGATCTCAAACACACCGCCCGGGCAACGAAGGAGTGGCTTCGTAAGAAGCATTTCAAGGTCCTGGAGTGGCCTAGCCAGTCTCCAGATCTCAACCCCATAGAAAATCTTTGGAGGGAGTTGAAAGTCCGTGTTGCCCAGCGACAGCCCCAAAACATCACTGCACTAGAGGAGATCTGCATGGAGGAATGGGCCAAAATACCAGCAACAGTGTGTGAAAACCTTGTGAAGACTTACAGAAAATGTTTGACCTGTGTCATTGCCAACAAAGGGTATATAACAAAGTATTGAGAAACTTTTGTTATTGACCAAATACTTATTTTCCACCATAATTTGAAAATAAATTCATTAAAAATCCTACAATGTGATTTTCTGTATTTTTTTTCCTCATTTTGTCTGTCATAGTTGACGTGTACCTATGATGAAAATTACAGGCCTCTCTCATCTTTTTAAGTGGGAGAACTTGCACAATTGGTGGCTGACTAAATAATTTTTTCCCCCACTGTATTAGGTGCTTTTAGCAGAGCAGGGGTCTTCACTCCTCACCTTAGAGTTCAGGGCACACTGTAGTGGAGAGTCTTTGGCCTTGTTGTATATGGTGGTGCTGGCTCCGTTCTCCAGTAGAACCTGGATGATGCCCTCGTAGCCCCAACGGGCCGCGATGTGCAGGGGGGTGTCCCCCTTGTCGTTCTGGATGTTCAGACAGCACGTGTGCAGGTCGTAGTACACCAGAGCCTTAACACACTGAGACACGGATGGGATAACACTGTCAGACAAAAAAACAACAACTCTGAACTACCATAGAGAGACACTGTCAGTACAGGCTGTCATCATCATCCTCCATATACCTGTACTTATTTACAGCAGTATTGTTGTGGAAATTCTAACCAATAAGGAGAGACTTTGTTAATTCTTCAAACAATCAATACTTTATTATATAAATTGCAATAAGGAAGCTGGTCGACCCCACACTCTTGAGCGTGAGACCGAGGCTTAAAATCATACAGAGAATAAAGGGCCTTATATAGAAGACCTAGAAATGCTTAGTCATGGCAGGTTTCACCCCTCCCTGGAAGATCAGGGCATCATAAGCTATCTTGTTTTCTTCTTGTGGCCAGGTGTATTGGGTGTGTGAGGTTATAGGCACAAACAAGTGACAACGGCAGTTCCGTTACTGCGTTCTCTACCAAGCTAGCCTCCGTTCTCTTCTATCTCCCCACAGCTGTGCCCTTGGAAGATATGAGAAGAAACAGGATGGGCTGAGACACTGCGGTCACTTCTCAGAGCCTCTTTGTCTTATGCCGTGTGACCTGGTTACTCAGAAGCAAAGAGAAATTGAAACAATACAGGTCTATCTGTTTCTCAAGTTTATCTCTATCTCGAGTGGCAAGTTATCTCTGAGTCTCCCCATGTCCTTGACGATACGCCCAGACCAGCTGCAGTGAGCAGAAAGGGAGAACCATCCTTTCTCAGAAGCACAGTATTGCAAGTTATTAACTATCGATATATAGTAAACAAGGCAGGTAAATACGTTCATTCTCCCCCTACATTATCAATACAGATCACAGGAAGTTGGTGGCACCTTAATTGGGGAAGACGGGCTCATAGTAATGGCTGGAATGGATAATATGGAATGGCATCGAACTCAAACACATGATATCATTCAATTAACTCCATCCCAGTCATTATTATGAGCCATCCTCCCCTCAGCAGCCTCCTGTGATACAGATACTTTAACTGCTATCCCATGTACTGTCACTGGTTGTATTTCCTCAGCTCTATCCCTGAGATTACCAAACAAAGTGGCAGAGTCAAGGCTGTTGAAATTACAGACTGTGCCTTTAAAGACAGATTTTAAAATGGAGAGTGGCTCCCCAGACTGACTTACATCTTCATGTCCGTACATACAGGCCAGGTGCAGAGGAGTGTTGCCATTGTTGTCCTGGGCGTCTGTGTTCGCCTTATAGTGCAAGAGCAGCAGCTGGGTGGGAGAGAGAGTGAGAGAAAAATATGTCAGAGAGATTGAACAGTTTGTGTAACAGAAGTATCTTTTTTGTATATAGTTTCTGTGATATAGTGTAGTTCATTTTAGCCTGGTTCAAGATCTGTTTAGCACAAAAAGATCTGGAACCAGGCTATAACTGTCCTGCTAGCGTCCTGTCTCACCGTGACTCCCTGGTAGCCCTTCTGACAGGAGAGGTGCAGGGGTGAGAATGCGAGGTAGTCTGTGGCGTTCACCAGAGCTCCCTTAGACACCAACAGGTCGATCAACAGGGACTGACCTACCATGGCAAAGACAGGCTTTTAACTTTATTTAGACAGTGGGAAATGAGAGCGGGAGACAGATTGAAGGGGATGAAAAGTACAGAAAGTGGCGGACCGGGGATTCCATCCCCTGCCTTTAGGGTCTACAGTATGTGTGGTCCCAAGTAAGCTGTGTTGATCAATAGGCCACCCTCAGGCACTTATTAGCACCACTTACCACAGATAGCAGCGACATGAAGTGGTGTGTATCCTCTATCGTCTCGAGAGAAGGGAGTTACAATGGACGGGTCATTCAGTCTTCTGCAAGAGCAGACACAGTAATAGAGAAAGGGGAAATGAAACTTCAAGGGGAATTACAAAGTTGGAGAATAATCAAATGTTCTGTTTCTATTCACTGCATGTAATGACAATAACACAGAAAGAGAATATGATTCCACTAGAAGGAGTGAGTGACACAGAGAATCAGACAACTGAAGTGTCAGACTTACAGTGGGGGGAAAAAGTATTTAGTCAGACACCAATTGTGCAAGTTCTCCCACTTAAAAAGATGAGAGAGGCCTGTAATTTTCATCATAGGTACACGTAAACTATGACAGACGAATTGAGAAAAAAAATCCAGAAAATCACATTGTAGGATTTTTAATGAATTTATTTGCAAATGATGGTGGAAAATAAGTATTTGGTCACCTACAAACAAGCAAGATTTCTGGCTCTCACAGACCTGTAACTTCTTCTGTAAGAGGCTCCTCTGTCCTCCACTCGTTACCTGTATTAATGGCACCTGTTTGAACTTGTTATCAGTATAAAAGACACCTGTCCACAACCTCAAACAGTCACACTCCAAACTCCGATATGGCCAAGACCAAAGAGCTGTCAAAGGACACCAGAAACAAAATTGTAGACCTGCACCAGGCTGGGAAGACTGAATCTGCAATAGGTAAGCAGCTTGGTTTGAAGAAATCAACTGTGGGAGCAATTATTAGCAAATGGAAGACATACAAGACCACTGATAATCTCCCTCGATCTGGGGCTCCACGCAAGATCTCACCCCGTGGGGTCAAAATGATCACAAGAACGGTGAGCAAAATCCCAGAACCACACGGGGGGACCTAGTGAATTACCTGCAGAGAGCTGGGACCAAAGTAACAAAGCCTACCATCAGTAACACACTACGCCGCCAGGGACTCAAATCCTGCAGTGCCAGACGTGTCCCCCTGCTTAAGCCAGTACATGTCCAGGCCCGTCTGAAGTTTGCTAGAGTGCATTTGGATGATCCAGAAGAGGATTGGGAGAATGTCATATGGTCAGATGAAACCAAAATATAACTTTTTGGTAAAAACTCAACTCGTCGTGTTTGGAGGACAAAGAATGCTGAGTTGCATCCAAAGAACACCATACTTACTGTGAAGCATGGGGGTGGAAACATCATGCTTTGGGGCTGTTTTTCTGCAAAGGGACCAGGACGACTGATCCGTGTAAAGGAAAGAATTAATGGGGCCATGTATCGTGAGATTTTGAGTGAAAACCTCCTTCCATCAGCAAGGGCATTGAAGATGAAACGTGGTTGGGTCTTTCAGCATGACAATGATCCCAAACACACCGCCCGGGCAACGAAGGAGTGGCTTCGTAAGAAGCATTTCAAGGTCCTGGAGTGGCATAGCCAGTCTCCAGATCTCAACCCCATAGAAAATCTTTGGAGGGAGTTGAAAGTCCGTGTTGCCCAGCGACAGCCCCAAAACATCACTGCTCTAGAGGAGATCTGCAAGGAGGAATGGGCCAAAATACCAGCAACAGTGTGTGAAAACCTTGTGAAGACTTACAGAAAACGTTTGACCTGTGTCATTGCCAACAAAGGGTATATAACAAAGTATTGAGAAACTTTTGTTATTGACCAAATACTTATTTTCCACCATAATTTGCAAATAAATTCATTAAAAATCCTACAATGTGATTTTCTGGAAAAAAAAATCTCATTTTGTCTGTCATAGTTGACGTGTACCTATGATGAAAATTACAGGCCTCTCTCATCTTTTTAAGTGGGAGAACTTGCACAATTGGTGGCTGACTAAATACTTTTTTCCCCCACTGTACCTGATGGGTGGGGGAAAGGGGATATCTAGTCAGTTGCACAACTGAATGCATTCAACCGAAAAATGTATTCCGCATTCCTCTGAATCAGAGAGGTGCGGGGGGCTGCCTTAATCGATGTCCACGTCATTGACGCCCATGGAGCAGTTGTTGTGGGGTTTAACTGCCTTGCTCAAGGGCAGAACGGCAGATTTTTCCATCTTGCCGGCTCAGGTACTCGAACAAGCAACCTTTCGGTTACTGTCCCAACGCTCTAATCGCTAGGCTACCTGCCTCCCCGTCATAACAAACCTGTGTGTGGTATGCGTGCGTGCGTGTGTGTGCTCACCCTGAGACCCGGAGCTCACAATGATCACAGGAGCAAAGGGGGTGACACATCTTGACCCCGTCCTCATCACTTTCGTTTTCACTCAACACACGCTTGACCTCTGCTTCGTTACCATTGGCTATGTGCTGCAGGACACACACACGCACCATCAGTTCAAAAAAGAAAAATATCAATATACAGACTATTTATTTATTTTTATATCAGAAAAAAGTTGGTTAAACAATGTTTTCATATGAACAAATGAAATTGTTAAATGGATGAAGGTATCCATCTATCCAATGGACCATGATGCCCAGTATTGGGCTCCCAAGTGGCGCAGTGGTCTAAGGCACTGCATCTCAGTGCTAGAGGCGTCACTGCAGACCCTGGTTCGATTCCAGGCTGTATCACAACCGGCCGTGATTGGGAGTCCCATAGGGCGGCGCACAATTGGCCCAGCGTCGTCCGGGTTTTGGCCGGGGTAGGCCGTCATTGTAAATAAGAATTTGTTCTTAATTTGACTTGTCTGGTTAAATTAAATTAAATAAAAAATAGCCAGTGTTGGGGAAGCTACTCTGAAATAGTTTACCAAGCTACCAATTACTTCACACTAGAAGAAGTTAAGCTACACTAAAGCTACCCTTAAGAAGAAAAAAAAGTGTACTTATCTAAAGCTACTTTGAAAAAGTAGTTCACTACATCCAAGCTACTTCGGGAAAAATTATCATATCTAAATCTGAAATGTCATAGACTACAAATTGCAAGAACAGATCACTCTGGGGTCAGGTGTTAACAAAATGTGTAATTTAGCCTATTAAACACAAAAACAGTTTCAAGTGAGAATTAGGCAGGTCTGAAGCCCCCATATTTTCTTTTGCAAAAAATGTAGTGTGTAGTTCCAACAGTTAGCTACACTGCTACATGGCAAAAAAAGTTATTAACTACTGAAAACACTACCTAGATTTGAATTTAGTTCAACTACCACCAAGCTACTTCAAAATGCAGTTTAATTACTAGTTGAACTACATGTAGTTCATTACTCCCCAACAAAGAGTAAAGCTTTCCTCCCCCCTAAAACTGTATGGTCATGTTCTCACCTCAAACAGACAGTTGATGGGGGTAGCATCATTCTGGCAGAGCAGGTTTATTTTCTGTGTGAAACGCACTTTGTCGTTCGGTTCCCCTGAGCCCTGCAAACCACAGACACAGTCACTTACTCTGCACCAATTTTCGGTAATTTCGGTCAAGTTCGCTCACTATTGTGGCCTGTTATGACAGGTATTGCAGTGATAAAGTGGTGTATCTATCTAAGTCAACAGTGTGCTTGGATAGGATATCAGCTACAACAAAGCTGAATGTGTTTGTGGTGTATAAAGCCATTTTCACAATATTGAGCCAAGTCAAGCTGGCCAGGGCCCAGGTACACAGTGAACAAAACATTAAGAACACCTGCTCTTTCCATGACAGACTGACCAGGTGAATCCAGGTGAAAGCTATGATCCCTTATTGATGTCACTTGTTAAATCCACTTCAATCAGTGTAGATGATGGGGAGGATACAGGTTAAAGAATGATGTTTAAGCCTTGAGACAATTGAGACATGGATTGTGTATGTGTGCCATTCAAAAGGGTGGATTGGCAAGCCAAAATATTCAAATGCCTTTGAACAGGGTATGGTAGTAGGTGCCAGGCACACCAGTTTGTGTCAAGTACTCTAATGCTGCTGGGTTTTTCACACTCAACAGTTTCCCGTGTGTATCAATAATGGTCCAACACCCAAAGGACATCCAGCCAACTTGACACAACTGTGGGAAGCATTGGAGTCAACATGAACCAGCATCCCTGTGGAACACTTTTGACACTTTGTAGAGTCTATGCCCCGACCAATTGAGGCTGTTCTGAGGGAAAAGGGGAGGGTGCAAATCAATATTAATGTTTTGTACACTCAGTGTAGTGTAAGGTAAGAAAGGATCCACCCTGTGTGAGTACTACTGTACTTTGCTGTGCTCACCACTCGTCCCTGGCTCAGGATGAGGTTGCCCTGGCTGATGAACTCGACGGCGGCCTCGAACGACGTCAGGCAGTAGCTCAGCTCGTCCTTGGTGGAGTTACAGAAATTGAAGTTCTTGATGTAGCTCAGGTTGGCCATCCTGGAAGAGCATGCTTGTTAGTTAAACACTTGTTAACACTGGCTTTTAATAACTTAATAGTTAATGAATCAATTAATGACTAGGTTTAATTACTAGGTCACTTTAGTCATTCATAATTAATTCAACTAGTAAATCAAGTCATTTCATGGTCAGTGGTATTAGTAGGTCTTCCTCACCAATTGGGGATTTCCGTCTTCACCACTAAGTACAGAATCCCAGAGAGAAGATCGTCTGCACATAAAGCCTCTATGCTCACTGCATGTTAAGGAAAAAAGGGAAATGAAAGGAAGAATTCAATTACGGTGGTTCCTTCTGTAACTGTAACAAGTTTGTGAATGAGGTTTACAGCAGGGGCATACAGTAGACTAGATAGATAAGGCTCTTTAATATATTAAACAGCTTCATCCTACAAACATTGCTTTACAGAGTTGCTTTACCTGTGAAACGCCCACAAAGTCTGGCTAACCTCTGAGACAATCTGCCTCTTTCCGTGTTGTTTAGGCTTTAAATTGGTAAATTTGGCCAACAGAAATTACGAGTGGATCACACCACTCCACAGAGACAGGGTAAGGGTTGTTATGTGGTTAACAAGGTTGGATTTCCAAAATAAACTGGACAAACGCATTAGGCCCCAACAGTCAGGATATTGTGCGTATGTACAGAGTTAATTATATTACCAGGCAGGGAGTGAACAGAAAATTGAGTAATGGAGGACATTATGTGGGACTGTGCAGAGTTCAGTCAACTTTCCTACACACTCTGACCTGAGCGGTTATAATGACCAGCCTTGTAAACTACTTCTAGTAACTTAATGTCATCATAAAACATTGGTAAATCAGCACTTGTGCACACCTGTAACTTTCTGGATGAAAGCAAAAATTATATTTCACTCAGAGGCCGAAGCATGACCTTACAGATTTGCATAGATGTGGTAAAGAGGTCAATGGAACACAGACCGTGGGGGATAGAACTAGGACGCCGGATTGGCACACAATCAACACATCTGTCTAACAAAGTGCCAATTCGTCATGATTTATGTATTGTAACAGGCCGCTTTGGATATAATTGGCTGTTTCGCTGCATAACATTTAGAAGTAGTCGCTTTTCAGGTTGCGAAGAAGTGACTCCTAAATGCAAACTCCCGTTCGTATAAGCTGGTAGCATAGCTAGCATGGAGAAATCAGTAGTGGTATTGGTAGTCCCCTGTAGCTCAGTTGGTAGAGCATAGCGATTGCAACGCCATGGTTGTGGGTTCGTTTCCCACGGGGGGCCAGTATGAAAAATTTATGCACTCACTAACTGTAAGTCGCTATGGATAAGAGAGTCTGCCAAGTGATTAAAATGTAAAAATGTAGTCAGTCATTTTTAACTGTAATGCAGTTAATTGGTGACAATAACATGACATTGTGTTGGGGTTGACATCCATACAAACATTATACTCCGATTTTTACCTCAACATAGTGTGAAATACACAAACAATAGCCTAAAAGTAGGCTAATTTTGCTGGGGGGCAATGAGGAGATTCGTGATCATTCCCCCTCGCATTTCCATGGCATTTCCATTGTTTTGGTTGAGTTCCATTGATCTCTTTACCGCATCTATGGTACCATAACAAATGGGCCAGAATCCATTTTAAGGCACATTTGCATTTCAGTATCAATTGTGCTGTTTATGAAAATGTATGCACTCACTAACTGTAAGTCGCTCTGGATAAGAGCGTCTGCTAAACGACTAAAATGCAAAAAAAATAAAAAAATAATGTGACAGAACACTGTGTAAACTTCTGCCAATGTGACATGAAATGCGGACAGACACAAGACAGACAGACAGACACACGGTATACCTGAGCTGCTGGGGGACTGCATGATGGTGAGTCCCACCTTTCTGAGGCAGAGCAGCTTGTGTAGAGGAGAGGTGCAGTGGTTCAACTGGCTCAGCTCTCTCTTGGCCCGGGGGATATTTATACTGTATTTGGTAATAGGGAAATACAACTGGGTAAGTTAATATTGATACTATATTAGGAGACAGGGACACACTACAGGTTATAGTAGTGAATGGCTAGGGGATATTGATACTGGATGAGACAGGCAAACATACTCCTATACTCTATAGACACAACGGAACAGGTTCTCTCATATCAGACCTATTTGATATGATGAAGATCAGTTAGTATTAGAAGTGGTATATGAGCAATATGGTGGTGTGGCCCTTTTCGTTTGTGTTGTATGGAGACTTGCAAAGTTTCTCATCCAGCATGTATAATGTGATGTGTGTTTATCATTACTTTGGACTGCAAACACAAAAGCAACCAACCTAAATTCAGATTTGACCCCCAAGTCTTTCTGCTGCAGATCCTGCAGACCTCTGGTGGTTTTGTTGAAGGCAGAATCCTGTTGGAACAGTGATAATAAACATGGATATTAACCTTTCCTGCATGGGGATTCTGGGGCTATAAAATACTGACAGTAATATCAAATACTGTACAGACCTGGCTGGCTTCAAGAGTTCCCACAAAGTTAAAGATTAAATCATGGATACCATGATGTATATACATCTGAAAGATAAAATAGAAAATATGTATACTGACAACATTTCATAAAATTACATTAAGCATTATAGCATCACACAACTCCGTAGAGCTGTACGGATGACCAGAATGAAAAAACACCTAAAATAAATTGTTTTCAAATGTTCAATACAACACAATACAATAGAGAGAACTCTCTCTTACTTCCACCGCTTGTTTAAGGAGAGTCATCTGGAGCTCCTGTTTGGCCAGCACTTTCTGAAAGACAGGAGGTATAACCAATCTGGTTCATATCTCAGGAATGACAACTGGGTCGTGGTCCAGTAGGCACGTAGAAATGGAAAACCAACCTGAACTTGTCCAATACGAAACATTTTAAAAACATTGCTACAGTGTGACCTACTGAACATGACCCATGATATGTAGATAATCAGGCAGTGTTGCCAACTTAGCGACTTTGTCACTAGATTTAGCGAGTTTTCAGACCCCTCCAGAGATATTGGTAAAAGAGTATAGCAACTTTTTAAGGCTGTCCCAGCAACTTTTGGTTGATTTAGCAACTTCCCTATTTGTGTGTGTGTGCCCGCTCGGCTGAGCCTAGCTGTGCTGCTCTGAGCACTGCTCCCTCTCTACCGGCTTCTGCATGTGTGTGCCCTTCCCCCACCTCTCTTCGCTCCCTCCCCCGCCTCTCTCCATCTAGCCCCTCGGTCCTCTCTCCATCTAGCCTCTCGGGTCCTCTCTCCATCTAGCCCCTCGGTCCTCTCTCCATCTAGCCTCTCGGGTCCTCTCTCCATCTAGCCTCTCGGGTCCTCTCTCCATCTAGCCCCTCGGTCCTCTCTCCATCTAGCCCCTTGGTCCTCTCTCCATCTAGCCCCTCTGTCCTCTCTCCATCTAGCCCCTCTGTCCTCTCTCCATCTAGCCCCTCGGTCCTCTCTCCATCTAGCCCCTCGGTCCTCTCTCCATCTAGCCTCTTGGGTCCTCTCTCCATCTAGCCCCTCGGTCCTCTCTCCATCTAGCCCCTCGGTCCTCTCTCCATCTAGCCCCTCGGTCCTCTCTCCATCTAGCCCCTCGGCCCTCTCTCCATCTAGCCCCTCGGCCCTCTCTCCATCTAGCCCCTCTGTCCTCTCTCCATCTAGCCCCTCGGTCCTCTCTCCATCTAGCCCCTCGGTCCTCTCTCCATCTAGCCCCTCGGTCCTCTCTCCATCTAGCCCCTCTGTCCTCTCTCCATCTAGCCCTCGGTCCTCTCTCCATCTAGCCTCTCGGGTCCTCTATCCATCTAGCCCCTCGGTCCTCTCTCCATCTAGCCCCTCGGTCCTCTCTCCATCTAGCCTCTCGGTCCTCTCTCCATCTAGCCTCTCGGGTCCTCTCTCCATCTAACCCCTCGGTCCGCTCTCCATCTAGCCCCTCGGTCCTCTCTCCATCTAGCCCTCGGTCCTCTCTCCATCTAGCCCCTCGGTCCTCTCTCCATCTAGCCTCTCGGTCCTCTCTCCATCTAGCCCCTCGGTCCTCTCTCCATCTAGCCCCTCGGTCCTCTCTCCATCTAGCCTCTCGGTCCTCTCTCCGCTACTCCAGCGAGTGAAGTGAATTTATTAAATTGTTCCTTATTGTTAAATGATAACACAGCTCTCCAAGGCATAAATACAAATACAAAATCTACAAAAGTCATCTACCTTAGTTTTTCTGTAACATTTAATTGGTTCCTGTTTGTTCTCCTTCAAACATTCTATTTAGTTTGCTTTGGAGAATTTCGCATTGCGTGAGAGATTGAGGGACAGCATAAGCATAATATTTTTTTTATGCGCATGTGCAAAATAACGTTATGTCATCCCTATTACATCATGACGTCATCTAGTGACATTTAGCGAGAAATGGAGCAACCAACAGCTACTTTCCGTGAAAAATAGTTGGCAACACCGCAATCAAGCAGTCATTGTCATACAGTAACTTACCAGGCTGCAGTCCTCAACAGTGCACTGAAGATCTTGTTTAAAGGCTTCCTGCGCCTGAGGGGAGAGGGCAGTCACAGTTGGAGCGTGTCAAGAGGAAGCGCATGATTTAGCTCAGTCGGTAAATGTTTGGCACCATTGGGTTCATCATGGTAATAAAAAGAATATTATAAATTGTAGCTGATAAGACGCTGTAAATATAAATAAATCATGCTATACAGTATTCCCATTGTTTAACAATAAGAATTTATTAGGGACAATTGGAGAGGAAGCAATTGCGTTAACAGAATATTTTTTCCATACATGGGTCAAATTATTGGCACCTTGTTAAATTTTAAATAGGTAATAAAAGTTAAAATTATGTGTGAGCAAAAGCGCCAAGATAAAAACCGACTATGTTGCTCCAAAACTTATATTTTATCTGACAATTGCAGGACCAATCAAGTGTAATACGTCTCCAAAAATAGGGGTCTAAATTTGCACCCGTTTTCATATCTACCTTGCGGGATAAGACCTGAACTTTCTCTAAAAGTTTATAGATTGGGAGAACACATTGGGAGGGATCTTAGACCATTCCTTTATACAGAATTGTTCCAGATTTTTTATATCCTTCATCTGCACTTCTGGACTGCCTTCTTCAATTCAAACCACAGGTTTTCAATGGGGTTCAAGTCCTGAGACTGAGCTGTCCTGTTGCAAAATGTTGATTTTGTGGTCAAACCATTTATTTGTGGATTTTGATTTGTGCTTGCGGTTATTGTCTTGCTGGAAGATCCACTTCCGGCCAAGTTTCAGCCTCCTTGCAGAGCCAACCATGTTTTGGGCTAAAATGTCCTGGTACTGGGTAAAGTACATGATGCTGTTGACCTTAACAAGGGCCCCAGGATGCAAAACCCACCACTGGTGTGCTTGGCCAAAGAGCTCTATTTTCATATCTGACCATAGCACCGGTTCCAATCCAAGTGTCAATGCCGTTAAGCAAACTCCAGGCGTCTACATTTGTTGGAAGACATGAAAATAGAGCTCTTTGTTCATGCACACCAGTGGTGTTTTGCATCGAAATAAAGATGCATATACAGAAAATAACCCCATACCTACTGTAAAATATGGTGGTGGATCTATGATGTTAAGGGGCTATTTACCTTCCACTGGTCCTGTGGCCCTTGTTAAGGTCAACAGCATCATGAACCTTACCCAGTACGAGGACATTTTAGCCAAAAACCTGACTGAATCTGCCAGGATGCCAATAATGTTGGCTCTGACTATGTTACTTTGTCTTATACAGTACAATGTATATTAATAGTATATATTACATTATAAATTAGTGTCCTAGCTATGTATTCCAGTATACACAGTGTACAAAACATTAGGAACACCTTCCTAATATTGAGTAGCCCCTTTTGCCCTCAGAACAGCCTCAATTCGTTGGGGCTTGGATTCTACAAGGTGTCGAAAGCGTTCCACAGGGATGCTGGCCCACATTGACTCCAATGCTTCCCATAGTTGTGTCAAGTTGGCTGGATGTCTTTTGTGTGGTGGACCATTCTTGATACACATGGGAAACTGTTGAGTGTGAAAAACCAGCAGCGTTGGCACCTACTACCATACCCCGTTCAAAGGCACTTTAATATTTTGTCTCGCCTATTCCCCCTCTGAACGGCACACATACACAATCCATGTCTCAATTGTCTCAAGGCAAATCCTTCTTTAACCTGTCTCCTCCCCTTCATATACAACTGATTGAAGTGGATATACAGGTGACATCAATAAGAGATCATAGCTTTCACCTGGTCAGTCTATGTCATGGAAAGAGCAGGTGTTCCTTTTGTTTTGTACACCCAGTGTATGTTATCAAGCGTGGAAATTGCTTCACTCTACCGTTAGTTAGGTGGGTTGTGAAATTGCTAGCTAGTTAGCAGTGAGCTAGTAGTGTCCATCAGGATTAGGCATGGTGCTTACAATGTGGTGTCGCAGTCCCTTCCTTTCATGCTCTTTAAAGGAGTGGCAGAAGCTGCTTATGAACTTGTCCAGTTTCTCCACATGGCGGCCCAGAAACTCCCTGACATCATCCACATTCTTCAGACAGTACAGGGCCGGGCTGGGGGTCACCTCCACTGAGAGAGGAAGAGAGTGAGGTAGGGAGGGAGGGAAGAAAGGTGAGAGAAGAAGGTGAGAGTGAGATGGCGGCTGTAGGCGTTTGTATCTGGTTCAACATCAACTAAATCGCATACCCACTTAACTAAACTTTTATGGCTTCTGGATGAGAGCAGTACCTGGGCTTTGGTCTGTGTCGATGGGCCTGGCGATACAGAGGACGCTGTAGCTTTGCTCCTTCTCATTGTAAAAGGTCTCCTCAAACAGGATGGGCACGTTGGCTGGGGCCTGGAACCCTGCGCCCAGTCTCACCTGGCTGTCCTGGATGGTCAGCTCCTATCATAGAGGATGAAGAGGAGCAGACTCAATATCCTCCGTTATAGCAGAGTAGAATCAACCAAAGCGATACAGCTAGGCCAGAGAATATGAACTAGCCTGATGTTTTGGTGTAGTGCACCAATGATTCAACACACATCTTACCATGTTAAAATAGAGGAATAGAGGACAATGTTACACTGAGAAATTGTATACTAGTGTAATAACTGTAGAATCAAGAGATGGCAAATACTTTAGAGACTGTAGCGTTTCCAGATGACGTGGTACTGGTCTGATGGACCTTACCTTCCCATCTACAGTCTGATATCCCTCTCCAGAGGGCTGTAAAACGTAGGTTTCAAACTGGGCTACTGTGTTCGCCCCAAGGGTTAGACTTCCACGGCACGGCACCAAAACCTGGGGCACAGTAATATGATCATCATCAAGGTTAAAAAAAACATGTTTCTCGTGACTTTGAGAATGGATTTTTCAATGGTTTCTTTGGTAAAGTTTCCTAAATAAAAAGCATCTGATCTTACTGTGTCATTGCTACTTTGCCCCAGAAAGTAGCCTTGATTTCTTTATGATATGGCCTACTGCCCAGAGCCCACATGCAATCCAACACCCATTACCAACTCTTTCCTTCTCTATTTTAAAGCATTTAATACCAGTGGAAAAAAAATCGGACATGATTATAACACTGTAAATGGAGAAATATACACATGAATCTAAGGGTTTCATGTTGTATTTGTTGCAATTTAAATCAACTCAAAGCTCTCTCAAAGTCACCACACTATTTTGCTGATGTAGCCTAGTTTTAACAGGCCTATGATTGTTGACCGACTGGTAAAATATTATAAGGTTATTACAGTCTAGTGAAAATTACATTCATTTTAACCTACGTTTGACTGAAAAATGCAGCTTGGTCCTTTTTTCTCCCCTTGCACATGGCTATCGGGGAAATTTGGGAAGGTTGTGGCTGTTTTTACTTCGCATATTAGAGCTTATGCATAGGTCTATATATGAGCCCTATCCCGAAAAAAAAAACCTGAATTAAAATAATGATTGTGCCGTTATACAATAAATATCCAAATCAAATTTTATTTGCCACATGCGCCGAATACAACAGGTGTAGACATTACAGTGAAATGCTTACTTACAAGCCCTTAACCAACAATGCAGTTAAGAAAATAAATAAAAGTGTTAAGTAAAAAATGGATAAGTAAAAAATAGCAAATAATTAAAGAGCAGCAGTAAAATAAGATAACAGTAGGGAGGCTATATACAGGGGGTACCGGTACAGAGTCAATGTGTGGGGGCACCGGTTAGTTGAGGTAATTCAGGTAATATGTACATGTGGGTAGAGTTAAAGTGACTATGCATAAATAATAAGCAGAGTAGCAGCAGCGTAAGATGGGGATGGGGTGGGGTGGAAATGCAAATAGTCCGGGTAGCCATGATTAGCTGTTCAGGAGTCTTATGGCTTGGGGGTAGAAGCTGTTAAGAAGCCTTTTGGACCTAGACTTGGCGCTCCGGTACCGCTTGCCGTGCGGTAGCAGAGAGAACAGTCTATGCCTAGGGTGGCTGGAGTCTTTGATAATTTTTAGGGCCTTCCTCTGACACCGCCTGGTTAGAGGTCCTGGATGGCAGGAAGCTTGGCCCCAGTGATGTACTGGGCCGTACGCACTACCCTCTGTAGTGCCTTGCGGTCGGAGGCCAAGCAGTTGCCATACCAGGCGGTGATGCAACCAGTCAGGATGCTCTCGATGGTGACTACCTTATATTACGCATGGTAGAAAAACATGATGTCTTCGGTACATAATTAGTCTAGCCTATACTCCAAAATTAAACAAATTCTAGTAATCGCCTTTGAGTGTGTACTATATTATTATGCATAATGGATGGACTGGTTACCTTATGCTACGCTCAAAACGTTCTATCCATGAGTCTGGGAGAGAACGTATAGGCCTAGGCCAGTGGTCACCAACCCGTCGATTGTGATCGACTGGTTGATCTCCAAGGCATTCCTAGTCGATCACCAAACATCTCTGTAAAAAAACAACAACGATAAAGCCTTGAGCTCCAATTTTCTTTATTCATTTCGTGCTGTTGGCGGTAGGTGCACTTGATTCAGCAGTCATAGTGCCGGGAAGGCAAAGTGTATTTTTTCAATGGGGAGGAGATGGATCAGCGTTAATATTGCAGATAGATTGTGGCTTCCATCAATGTAATTCTCTGCATCATTTGCAATCCTCTATTATTTTTTTTGTAAATATACATAAATGATATGTATTTTTTACAAATATATTTTCTTTGATTATTTTCCCCTAACCCTTCCATCCCTTCCCTAATTGGAGTAAACTAATGGACAACAACACTTAGGCTTCTACTTCCAGCTTATACATACTATATACATTTTACGGACACAGTATATTTTGCAATAGTTATATTTTGTTTGTTTTTAGTCCCATCCTTCAGCTCCACTCAACCCCTCCCATCCATCTCTGAACACCATCCAGTTTTGATTTCCATTTTCCATATATTTTTCAACTATGCAACATGAACCTATTAAAAACAGTTCTGTAGCAAGGAGGTTTGTAGTAGGCTATATGCCCAATACATTATCACTGCATATTGGCTATGCTTGAATTGCCCTGAAAATGTTGTTCTTCTCCGACCATTTTGAAATGCAGCTAACAAAAATATCTGGAAATGTCTGCATTACCGCAAAAATGGAAGAGGCAAGTGTAAGGGGGAGAAAGTAAGGAACTTGTCTGTCGGGTTCTGCATTAAAGACCACAATTGGTTAAAGAAATTGTGATAAATAAAAAGTATACCAGTTTCATATACAGTGTGCCATATACAGTGCATTCGGAAAGTATTCAGACTCCTTGACTTTTTCCACATTTGTTACGTTACAGCCTTATTCTAAAATTGATTAAATATTATTTTTTTCATCAATCTACACACAATACCCCATAATGACAAAGCGAAAACAGGTTTTTAGATGTTTTTGCAATAAATAAAAATACAATAAATATGAGCCTTGAAATTGAGCTCAGGTACATCCTGTTTCCATTGATCACCCTTGAGATGTTTCTACAACTTGATTGGAGTTCACCTGTAGTAAATTCAATTGATTGGATATGATTTGGAAAGGTACACACCTGTCTATATAAGGTCCCACAGTTGACTGCATGTCAGAGCAAAAACCAAGCCACGAGGTCGAAGGAATTGTCCGTAGAGCTCTGAGACAGGATTGTGTCGAGGCACAGATCTGGGGAAGGGTACCAAAATATTTCTGCAGCACTGAAAGTCCCCAAGAACACAGTGGCCTTCATCATTCTTAAATTGAAGAAGTTTGAAACCCCCAAGACTCTTCCAAACTGAGCAATCGGGGGAGAAGGGCCTTGGTCAGGGAGGTGACCAAGAACCCGATGGTCACACTGACAGATCTCCAGAGTTCCTCTGTGGAGATGGGAGAACCTTCCAGAAGGACAACCATCTCTGCAGTACTCCACCAATCAAGCCTTTATGGTAGAGTGGCCAGACGGAAGCCACTCCTCAGTAAAAGGCACATGACAGACCGCTTGGAGTTTGCCAAAAGGCACCTAAAGACTCTCAGACCATGAGAAACAAGATTCTCTGGTCTAAAGAAACCAAGATTGAACTCTTTGGCCTGAATGCCAAGCGTCACATCTGGAGGAAACCTGTGACCATCCCTACAGTGAAGCATGGTGGTGGCAGCATCATGCTGTGGGGATGTTTTTCAGTGGCAGGTTCTGGGAGACTAGTCAGGATCGAGGGAAAGATGAACGGAGCAAAGTACAGAGAGATCCTTGATGAAAACCTGCTCCAGAGCGCTCAGGACCTCAGACTTGGGCGAAGGTTCACCTTCCAACAGGACAATGACCCTAAGCACACAGCCAAGACAACGCAGGAGTGGCTTCGGGACAAGTCTCTGAATATCCTTGAGTGGCTCAGCCAGAGCCCGGACTTGAACCCATTTGAACATCTCTGGAGAGACCTGAAAATAGCTGTGCATCAACGCTCCCCATCCAACCTGACAGAGCTTGAGAGGAACTGCAGAGAAGAATGGGAGAATCTCCCCAAATACAGGTGTGCCAAGCTTGTAGTGTCATACCCAACAAGACTCGAGGCTGTAATCGCTGCCAAAAGTGCTTCAACAAAGTACTGAGTAAAGGGTCTGTATACTTATGTAAATGTGATATTTCAGTTTTTAATTTTGATAAATTAGCAAACATTTCTAAAAACCTGTTTTTGCTTTGTCATTATGGGGTATTGTGTGAGGGGAAAAAACTATTTAATCAATTTTAGAATAAGGCTGTAACGTAACAAAATGTGGAAAAAGTCAAGGGGTCTGAATACTTTCCGAAGGCACTGTATATAATTCACAAGTGATAGACTAATATTGTCACCCATTAGACTATTCATTATACTATTTAATCTTGTATTTACATACATTTGTTTTGATTTAGAATGGACCATTATCATGCACCTGTCTCGAAACAGGGGCAGGGCGAAAAAATACATGTAATCTATGCACTTAAATAGCGAATGTAGGACACTTTTCCCGTGGTTCATTTTCATGCCAGCCAGGTAGGCTATACTCCTGTCGTAAAGAGAAGAAATGTGCTTAATTTTAGGAAAGTTGAGAAATAATATAGTAGGCCTCGCTTATAGAAAGTTGATGGGATCCTCCTCTTTTTAATAGAGGCCATCAAAACTCTGTTTTCTCACACAATTGCATAGCCTATAGAAATGTACTAATATTCTAATATATTAAAAAAAACACTAAAAAACTGTATTGGAAAATCATACTGAGGGTATTTTGAAATTCCCAGGATACGGTATACCATCCAACCCTACTAATGAGCACCGAGAAGTTTGACAATTATTTGCTAGGAGAAAGCTAAGCTAGTCGAAATGTTTCAGCTAGCTAAACTACCTAGCTTGAAGACGTGGTAACAGTGCATTGAAAACAACTAGCTAGCTATGAAGTTGACACATCAGTCCAATCAAAGTTACCGTACATAAGACCTTGATTTATCTGTGGCCAATGACAATGAGCCTTCTTGGTCACTTCTACTGTAAATCAATGAAACACCTAAGATGGGCTTTTGTTGGCTAGCTCTCCCAGCAGGTGCTGAGCCAATCACGTGCAACGAGAGAAGATCAACGACATCTACGCTCTGTAATTATTATTCTATCTGCCCCTCCACCACAGAAAGCACTGAGCGAGGCTGAAACAGCTGCATTTTGGAGATGGGAAAGCAACCACATATGCTTTATTAGATCAAGCAATTTTTTAAATAAAATTACATTGTTTGCTAACTGATGTGATATATTGTTGTGACATGAAATATCAGAATTGCATGCACATTTCCTAGATATTGGTGGGGCTCCAACCCACCTGCCGCATCGCTGCTGCTTGCCCGAACATGCTAATTTATTCTGCTGAGCTTGGTCCCTAATACAGTGGGGAGAACAAGTATTTGATACACTGCCGATTTTGCAGGTTTTCCTACTTACAAAGCATGTAGAGGTCTGTAATTTTGATCATAGGTACACTTCAACTGTGAGAGACGGAATCAAAAATCCAGAAAATCACATTGTATGACTTTTAAGTAATTAATTTGCATTTTATTGCATGACATATGTATTTGATACATCAGAAAAGCAGAACTTAATATTTGGTACAGAAACCTTTGTTTGCAATTACAGAGATCATACGTTTCCTGTAGGTCTTGACCAGGTTTGCGCACACTGCAGCAGGGATTTTGGCCCACTCCTCCATACAGACCTTCTCCAGATCCTTCAGGTTTCGGGGCTGTCGCTGGGCAATAAGGACTTTCAGCTCCCTCCAAAGATTTTCTATTGGGTTCAGGTCTGGGGGAAGACCCAGCCCCGACCCATCTTCAATGCTCTTACTGAGGGAAGGAGGTTGTTGGCCAAGATCTCGCGATACATGGCCCCATCCATCCTCCCATCAATACGGTGCAGTCGTCCTGTCCCGTTTGCAGAAAAGCATCCCCAAATAATTATGTTTCCACCTCCATGCTTCACGGTTGGGATGGTGTTCTTGGGGTTATACTCATCCTTCTTCTTCCTCCAAACACAGCGAGTGGAGTTTAGACCAAAAAGCTCTATTTTTGTCTCATCAGACCACATGACCTTCTCCCATTCCTCCTCTGGATCATCCAGATGGTCATTGGCAAACTTCAGACGGGCCTGGACATGCGCTGGCTTGAGCAGGGGGACCTTGCGTGCGCTGCAGGATTTTAATCCATGACGGCATAGTGTGTTACTAATGGTTTTCTTTGAGACTGTGGTCCCAGCTCTCTTCAGGTCATTGACCAGGTCCTGCCGTGTAGTTCTGGGCTGATCCCTCACCTTCCTCATGATCATTGATGCCCCACGAGGTGAGATCTTGCATAGAGCCCCAGACCGAGGGTGATTGACCGTCATCTTGAACTTCTTCCATTTTCTAATAATTGTGCCAACAGTTGTTGCCTTCTCACCAAGCTGCTTGCCTATTGTCCTGTAGCCCATCCCAGCCTTGTGCAGGTCTACAATTTTATCCCTGATGTCCTTACACAGCTCTCTGGTCTTGGCCATTGTGGAGAGGTTGGAGTCTGTTTGATTGAGTGTGTGGACAGGTGTCTTTTATACAGGTAACGAGTTCAAACAGGTGCAGTTAATACAGGTCATGAGTGGAGAACAGGAGGGCTTCTTAAAGAAAAACGAACAGGTCTGTGAGAGCCAGAATTCTTACTGGTTGGTAGGTGATCAAATACTTATGTCATGCAATAAAATGCAAATTAATTACTTAAAAATCATACAATCTGATTTTCTGGATTTTTGTTTTAGATTCCGTCTCTCACAGTTGAAGTGTACCTATGATAAAAATTACGGACCTCTACATGTTTTGTAAGTAGGAAAACCTGCAAAATCGGCAGTGTATCAAATAGTTGTTCTCCCCACTGTACATACACAATGTAAAGGGCTGAGCTGAGCTCTATATGGGCCCACAGCCATAGCTGTCAGTCACTCACAATGCCATGGAGCTCTGCCACTCTGCTGCACAGGTCGGGTCGCTGCTTCTCCAGCGCCAGATAAAAAGGGTTCTTCTGGAGGTTCTCATCATACAGAGCCATAAGGAACTGGATCTCTGGCCCCTGGGAGGAAGAGAGGACAGTTTACAGTAAATATGTGGTGGAAGGGAAGGATTCCATACCAGGAAATTCAGCTGACAAAACATGCTTTCATGTTGCTCCATAAGGAACAGAGATTCAGCCCTGGACAGTGACCATATAGGACTCGTTTCAGGAAATGCGTTATTTGGCGGAAATGCCTTCTGGAACATGTGAACTTTCATGTGCTTTAATAACAATAACTTCCATGCCATTTGTAAATACAAATACAATTGTTAAATTTCGAGCCTAATTGGTTTAGCCACGGAAAAAGACAGGAAAAGACAGGAACCTTCCTGCTAGCCATGATTATTATATTTTTTACTTTAGTTTATTTAGCAAATATTTTCTTAACTATATTTCTTGAACTGCATTGTTGGTTAAGGGCTTGTAAGTAAGCATTTCATGGTAAGGTCTACACCTGTTGTATTCGGCACATATGATTTTATTTTATTTTATTTTATTTTATTGGCTGAGATAATGGATCAGCTGGACATGCCAATAGATGAGTTCGGATTGGTCTGCCATGTAGCACGCTTAGGTCTATAACATGAGCTTGTCAGGATGTGTAGGTAATCCTTTCTAACGCAGCTTTTTAAGTGTTGCTCTCCACTTTCTGGAGGACCGAATTTTGAAATCAGTGGAATGCCCGGTGGAATTAGAGTATGATAGCTAAGGAGATGGAGAAAATTCTGGCATTTGATTGCAAATATGCAGAGGTAGTCGAAAAGAGAACACAAAGAAGGATGTTGTATAAAACACCTGTCTCCGGATTACATCTTCAAACTAAGGGCAACCATGGCATCCGTGACAGAGAGGGAGAAGCGTCCATCCATGTATACGGGTAAGATAGTCTAGCTAGCTACACTTTCAGATATTATAAGTTTCTAATTTTGTCAGAAAGTCGTTTTCATTTCAAGTTAAAGCGTACTGTTAGCTAGCTTGCTAACGTTAGCTGGCTGGCTGGCTAGCTAACGTTACATGTATGATCTGTGTAGTAATATTATTCGTATCTCAGAGCCATTTGCATTGTTAGTTATAGCCTAATGTTAGCTAGCTAACATTGAACCTGGTTGGTTAGCTACCTGCAGATTCAAGCAGGGTAGTAATGTTATGAGTTGGGATTATGGTTCATTGTTTAACTAGCTAAAAGACTCCACTATGCCATTTCACTACACCTTCTGTATCCTGTGCATGTGACAAATAAACTTTGATTTTATTTGATATAGTATGTGTTTACCAGAGACGGTAATGTGAAGAGCATGACCTGCACCAAAGTCAAATTAGGATATAACGTTAGGCCAACAAGACAGTGTCCAAGTTCTAAAATTCTCTGGTAGAATGCCGTGCTTTTATTTCGTCACACTCACAACTGTAAGCTATTTTCTGTAATTGGCTCGCCATTAACTTGTAAATAATGATCTGGTTGTGAGTTTATTTTCCTGTAATAATAAAGACAAATGAGCTAAAGTGAAGACGTTGTCAGCTATATGATATGGTCATTATTTTAACTGGCTAGCCAGCTAACTTAACATTTATATTATATAATATTAGTAGCTAGCTAACAAGCTAGAAACTAACCAAAACATTGTTTAGAAAGTTGCTTTTAATTGCCTGGTTTGCTAGATTGACATATACTACATTCATTTTCAAACGGGTGGGTTTATTGGTGTTAAAATACACTAGTTATGCTATTTTGGACCACCAGGCTGCTGATGTCAAGCAGCCTGTAGTTTGTGTTTATACTTTTTAATAACGACAACGCCAAGTTTGATGTTGGACGACAATAGAATGTTCATGATGTCACTGCGACAACTGTTGATAGACATAGTATAAACCAGCCTTTAGTCTCGAAATCTTTGGTTGTTTAGTACATGGCCTCACATGTGAATCCTTAAAGAGATGGGTGGGGCTAAGGCGTAAGAGGGTGTGAACAATGCTGAATGGGTGTGGATAAAGAAGAGCTCTCCAGTAGGTTTACCAAAACATTCAAGGGCCATTTTCTCAAAAGTGAGGTTACAAGTTTATCAACTTTCAAAGCAGAATTACTTTCCCATTGTTCCTGAACTGTAGTGTATGATATACCATTTTTTAGCTCTGAGTCTACTTTTATCCAATGTAAAAAAACACAATTTCAAATTTCGCTACATAAGACCGAATGGAGCCAGTCGGTCACATATTAGAGTTGTTGACATGAAGTAGGTTAGGACTAAATGGCTGGTTGGCTAAGACGGGTTTCAATATCAATAGTGTCTGCCAATTGGACAGACTAGTGTTGATGGCACCAGCACATGATTTGGTTGCACAAATGTTTAATAACCTGACCTGTGTCCCATTATGTACCTGCAATCCATACAGAGCCAGACTAATAATGACTAGCCATCTTTCAAAATAGCATGCCCTTGCAGGACTTGACATTCAGGTAAATTTGCAAGTGGCACACCAGTCCAGTGCCAACTGAAAGCTACTGGCCCGCATTAAAAAGAATACAGGCCCGGGAAAGTGGATGTTACCTTTAATTTGCCTATAATGACTTACCCTCAATGCACAAATAATGACATTTTAACTTCACAATATGATATTTACATTGATTGTTTGGATAAAAAAAATTACAACCTTTTGTGCAATTTCAAAAAGGGTGTTATTCTTAGCGATTTGAACAGTCAGTAATAGGTCCCGAGTTCAGGTTTTTACTGAAAATCACACTTGTTTATAGAAAATGCTGCTCTAAGTCCACAACAATTCTTAAACCACATCAGGAGACCACTTTTGAGGTCTGTAGTTGCCCTTTAAGTCAATTGCGCGCCTAGCAAGATACCGTTGTGTTTGGCAAGAGACCGTTGTTTGTACTGTACAATGTAGAGTGTAGGCTACATGTGATGACATAGTTTGCTAAACAAATGCCCCGCGATTGCTACAAATCATCATGATTTCATTCTGCCAGGTAGACCTTCATTCAAACCCGAAGATTCAAACAAGATTCAACCAAACTTTTTGAATACCTGGTTTGCATACCCATTGTTGCATACCCATTGCTGTTTGAATAAATCTTGATAATAATAATCATTAAAAAAATTATTGTGAACCAGAAACTAACGTGACCAGCTAACATTTTTTCACTGGCCTCTAGCGACCAATTAAAAGTTGGTGTCGTACTGCCAAGTCAAATGGTCACAAATGCAAGTGTTTTAGTCACAGTCTTGAACCCGGGTTGGGTGGGTGGGGTGTAGCCTACTTGTACATCAAGCTGCCTCACGCTACAGAAACAGGAGATAGGCTCCTGCCCTATGGGCTTCTCTGGCTCGGACAAGGCTTAGGCCTACTTTACTTGAAGAGGACAAACAAGCAGAGACAGAAGCAGCTAGGTCCAGAAGCTCGCTCTCCTCTTTCCTGAAGCATTTTAAAACCACAGCAGGAACAACAGGAAGATTGTTTGTCTCTCTCCAGGGTCACTTTTCACGTCCCTCTCTCCTTCTCACCCCAGCCAGCTGCCTCTCAGCTAAGCTTCTTAACGTCTTCCAAAATTAAATTACCAAAGCTGGTTCACCACATAATTGCATGATCCCCAAGGCCGGGCGTGAGATTCTGCATCTGTATGACACGTTTGTGAGACCTTGTCACAAACATTACATTTCAATGAAGCAGTCAGTCGCCCACAAAGACACACAGGAATGATCTAATGAACAGGTTGATAATAGTGAGGTGTGTTAGTATAACTTACTGGTTGAATAGGACAGCGGAGATTGTCTTGTCTGGTTGGTCTCGGCTGTGTCCCAGCTATTAGTGCTAAGAGTGCAGATGGTAGATTTGTAGAGGACACTTGGACATGGTTGTGCATAAACAACAAATTGTATGTAGGTCTATTTTGTGTGCACTGTCTTTTGTCTATTGTGTGATGCTCTACATCAGGGGTACTCAAGTATTATTTGAGAAGGTCCGGTCACACAAATTTCCTAGGTGGCAAAGGTCCGAATGGATAATGTAATTTATCGGCATAGTAACAAACCCCCACTTCGCAACCCATGCGACCTCAAACTGTTCACACCCCTCTTGTTGGCGGAGAGAAAATGTTGCAGTTTTAAAGCCAATTTCCCACAAATCTACACATTTTGCATGGGGTAGAGTTTTTTGTTGTTGCTGTTTTAAAGCTAATTTCCTGCAATTCTAGGCATTCTTCATTGGCTTATGTGTATTTATATGATACCAGGGGTCGAAGCCCGACCCGAGTAAATTAGAAAAATTAAAAATAAAATAACAAAATTTGGTATTTGACCCCGTTCTGGATCCGGATCCGGTCCGCCAGTTGAGTATGGGGCTCTACATCTCTGCTTCTTGAGTCAAGTTAAAAATGTTCTCCTGTAAATGTTTAGATGTTAGCCTCATCTCCTTTTGAATCAAAACTATTATCTAAAATAAAATGTTATTGATCGCATACACATATTTAGCAGATGTTATCGCGGGTGTAGCGAAATGCTTGTAAATATGAGATTTAGCCAGATAATATGGCACTGTGGCGTCACATGTTCTTCTGATGTAAGATTCCAATCAATCCATTGGAACCGCATAAAAACATGTGAGCATCATCCCCAAAATCGGGAACAAAAGAGTATGAAATCCATTCAAGTCTCATCTAAGATCAGTTCATCAGGCTACTCACTTGTTTGCGCCTCGTAAACAGGACTTGAAACACTGACATCAACATCATCTTTACGAATCCTAGGAATGATAATGCCATGGGTGGGGGATCTTCACAGCAGCAGCTGGGAATAGGGCTCATCTAAACCAGCCTCTTTGGAGTCTGACTTGGCTTCATAGTGAAGCAGTAACTGTCTCAGTGTGAAGGCAGCAGCACCACTCCACCTCCACCCTCATCTCGCTGTGCTGCTGCCTCCTTGGTATCAGATGGATGCTGCCTGCTGGCCTGAAACCCTGAAGAATGTGCTATCTAACCATGTGACCGGTCTGCTGGTTCTGAACAGGCCTGGTTGGGGGAAACATTCCTTCACAGCACGGCTTACAGCACATATTCCACTTCAGGAAAGCAAAGGCAGGCATTTCATTGATGGATGAATAAGATGGGTGGGTTGGTGATGGGATCTGGCCTTTGTGAGCATAAATACACATGTCTGTTCTCTTCAAGATAATGGAAAATAAAGTATTCTCCATCTGGCCTTTCATCCTGTTTGGTCACACTGTATAGGCCATCACCTGTCAAACTCAATCCACGGTGGGCTGAGTGTCTGCAGGTTTTCGCTCCTCCCTTGTACTTGATTGATCAATTAAAGGTCATCGATTAGTTAGGAACTCCCCTTAATTGGTTGTCTAGGTTTTAATTGGACACACATTGATAGGAAATAACAAAAACCAGCACACACTTGGCCCTCCATGGAATGAGTTTGACACCCCAGCTGTACATCAATCTTACATTGATGACAAAAGGTTATCTTCAGTCCTACTTATATCAGTACTCTCGTAACAACTTAAGCATTACGAAACTTCTATTAGATCAAATAAACCTTAACAAGCAAATTCCTTTTTTTGTTGAACAAATTCGACACTCCATACAAAAACTCCTTGCTTGGTGGGCGAAACAACGAAAAAAAACGGCAACTGCTGGTGGGAGACAGATTTTCCGCCGAGTTGGGCCCCTCTCTTCCTCTCTGAACATACTGATAAATAGACTCCAGGACGAGCAGGAACAATCATTGCAATTCAAACTTACCGATGCAATTGCACTTTCCTCTGCCAAAGCCATGGCAATGTTTGCAGAGTGAGACTCTCGTTTTAATTCCTCAATACAACCAACATCACCATCTATAACATCCTTCCTGTTGTT